CGTCGTCGGCTCCACTTACTCGCCTTGTCCGCGATGGAGTGGCGTTTTCCTTTGCTCAAAAGCAGACCAAAACCAAACACACATCGACTTTGTGTCCGAGTCCTCGCATCAGTGTCCGCATCTGTCTGGATTCGCGACCCCCGTCACATCACTCGATACCCGCGGCCCCCCCTCTCATCACCCTGCCCAGACCCCTGTCCGTCCGCCGCCTCGCATCTCATCCCATTCCGCGTCCGTTCTTAGCGACGTCGTGTGTCCGTCGCATTTATCCTCGCTGTGGGCAACGCCATGTGACTTGGATCGAATCTGTGATTGTAAGTTGTGCGCCGTCGTTAGGATGCCGCATTCAGGCGGTGGGTGCTCCAGCCCCAGCTCCTGGTTATGTGTTTCCCCCACCCACTTGGCTGGCCTGTGTCCACCGGCTGTACGGGTCTGTATCCTAAAGACAACGGCGGAGTTTAAAACCATCATCATCGTCATCGAATACATACTCGTTTTAGCTCAGACGGCGCGATATTGAATAAGAATGGCCCACAACAGCAGGACTCGAAATTTAATGCCTCGGGAGAAGATATGTGTGAGGATATGTTATTTAAGGGAGGATGTTAAAGGAATTTTTACAAGTCTTGGAATGGAAAATGCTAATATTTTAATAAGGACATCAAGTAAAGTAACAAATAAGAGATATTAGTAATTAATATTCTGTGGGGGATACGGGAGGTTATTAAAAATTCCAAGGTTAAAAAGAAACATGTACATATAAGAGAAATATTACATTATTGTATTTATAGGTGTATGTCTTCAGAATACTCTTCATTAACAAATTTAATTTCTTAACCTCCTTATATAATCGCTAACTTTTTGACCCATTAACTTATTGAAGAACAGTCTGGCAATATATCCAATATTTAGAAATATATATTTTCTTATATTTGAACTTCTCAACGAAAGAGGAAATGATTTAATTTCCTGCTCAGAAATTCCACAACCAGGACACTTTAAGTTTTCAGTTGCCTAGTTTTCACGGGGCTTTAAACCGCCAAATAAACTGGGCTAATATGGCGTGGCCTATATTCCTAACTACTAAGCATAACTCCTGCTGGGATGTGTAGTTGAAGTCATGATGATGATGGTCTTCCGTCCCAACTATACAGCGACCCAAACCATTAGGCTCCAGCATGGGCACGGGCCACGAGCCACGGGCTTTGACTGACTGTTCTGGGGGAATCAAATGTCTTAATTTCGCGTGTTTATATCTTAATCTTGGCCGTTTTTAAGAGCGTCTATTGGCCGGGACTTTTATGTGCCCGGGGACCCGGGTCGCGGAAGCCCAGCAAATAATAAAATCCCGGCATGGTGAATGGCGCTATAGACACATCCACGTACGTACAACCACCGCGCAAATAGTGAGCGGGTTTCATCTTGGCCTCGGTGGGGTTGGGTTTGGGTCTTGCTTTGGCCAAGATTAGTCCAAGGAGGAGGTGTGGATGATGCTGAAGGCAATGGCAATGGCGATGGGGAAAAGATGATGGGGGCGCGTATTACGGCCGCTAGTGTGTCGACGCCGCCGTGTGTCCTTTTGTCCCCAGGACAATAACACTTCCGTGCAGTACATTATCATAAAGGGGTTAAGTCGCTGATTTTCATCGTGTGTGCTCATTTAAAAACTTACACATGCGGCGGCCCCAGCAAAAGGCCCGGCCTGGGACTTCCTCTCCAGGAAGACGGCAACGCGCTGGATGACGCAGGACGCCCATCGACCGCAAAGGTCTTAGCTTGGCTCAAGGAACCGCGCTGAATTTCACCGCTTTGTTTCAGCGCTCTCATGAAAAGACGGCAGCGGTGGCTCATTATGCATCCCGATAAGCGATGTGGCTGTGCCGCTGCCGCTGCCGCCTCCCCAGCGAGTCGTCCTTTGCCCCAGGTTAGTCTAACGAAGGGATGCGGGAGTGGGTGGTGCCATGTGTGTGTGTGTGTGCGTGTGTGTGGCACTGCATTGTCGTGTCCTGTGTCCCGTGTCCTGTCTGCCAACCCCGTCTTGAGCCGCATTGTTTTGAGTTGTGACCCGCGAGCGGTGGCAGCCATTCAGCAGGGTGGCAACTGAAAGTGATTCTGTCTCGGCAGACGACTCTGTTACGCGCCACCCTTTTTCGCAATTTTTCGCCGCTTTTGGCGCAGTTTTTTTTCTCGCTTTTTTTGTGTGCTTCTTCCCTTCGGACGGACGTTGTCGTTTTTGTACCCTGTAAGTCTTTCAGGTTGGGAGGGTATATATGCACTCAAGGATATTGATTAGCTGAATTTAAAATGAATAATGTATTGAAAAGTATTAGAAAGGTTTAAGGTAATGATTTCTTTAAGAAGATTTTCCTGTAGCTAGATCTTAATACCACGAAAAGATCATAATATTCTGCATATAATGTATAAATCCGGCTTAGAATATAGAAAATATATTATAGAAATATAATATAATATAATAAAAATTTAAATATATTTATAATTTGGGTTTTTTAGAATATATTTCATATAACCAATAATTATGAATAATATCCGAAGACTTCTTAGTTTTAAAAATTAAATATATTATATTTAAGGAGGCATTTATAACTTTTTCCCATTTTTTTATTATATTTTTTAAAGATTTCCTAAACACTTTCATCTTCTCTTTATAAAACTCAACTACTAGGTATTTCTCAAGTCCATCATCTCAACTGATTCTGCCTCACAGCAGTGGCTGTAATTCGAGCTTAAGGCCCCTGTTCGAGCAACCGGGCGCCCGTTGCTGCTCCATTCTCGCTGTGCATTCGTCCCTTTGTTTCGTCATGTTCGCTCCTCCATTGTTGCGACTACTGGGCCTGCCATCCATGCCATCCATTCCCGATCCCGATCCCAATTTAACACGTTCGAATAACCTTGAAGCGTTTCTTATTACGCGCGACCGCAGTGATAGCGGGCCAGGAAAGCGGGCATAGCTGCCGGGCTCAGAGCTGGAAGAGAGCTGGAACAGTGAGGAGTCCTCTCGACTGCAGTGCCTGGGCCAGGTACTGCCGTTTGCATCGAATTCAATTAGACGCCGCTTGCTGACTGACTGACTGACTGGTTTTTCGCTGACTAATCGATGTGTGTGCCTTGTTTGACCTCGAACTCCACCGATGACTGCGCCTCGCCTCGTACCCATTGTGATTCTTATGGCTTCACACGGCGATTTTGCATTTTAATGGCCTTCTTGGAAGCAACGGGGCGTATGTCATGCCCAGGGTGGAAAAGGAAAGGTGCAGGACCCGGGGGGACCCTCCACGAAAAATCGCTAAAATCCTGTTTAGTTATAGGTTGCTGGGTTGCTCAAAACTCTTTGATTTGGCGGGATTTTCCATTCACTAAATTGCACTTTTCAAAACTATATTGACTTTTAATTAAGTAAAATTCTCAAACCTCGGTTTTTGAAAAATATATTAACTTGTAATCGATTTTGCCATGGATGACTGTGCTATTTTGGTGGCAAAAATGAGGGGTTATCTGATGGTTTTCAAGGTGGCTTTGTAAGGAAAAACATTAGAATGTATAGGACAGAATTCATTCAGAGTGTTCTTAAAACTCTTAACAAATTAAATGTGAGCTTAAATATAATACAAAAGCATTACAAATTTGAATATATATCTACTGTTTTCGCTTCCTGTGTTGCAATCACAGAGTGCAGAAGGCTGTGCCAAGCAAACGTAAGAAGTAAACCATACATTTTGGGGGTAGGGGACGATGGCCTACAAAAATTGCTAGCGTTTCCCGCGTTAATGGCCGCTTAGTTACGCTTCACAGTTTCGGATGCAGCTCATCCCGGGCACAGCGCACATGCACAGAATTCCAGGATACCGTTTGGCAGGATTGTCTCCTAAGTCTTCGCGGAACGGAGGGAAGATGAATGGCACGGGGTCACGCAGCCACCTACGGGGCAGTTGCAGATGTGCAGGTAAACAATCGGGACAAAGGATACCCGAGGCGGATTAAATGGGAGTGGGCCTGTCCTGGCCTCGGCCGAAGGATGCAACGAAAACAGACCGCTGATTGTTCGGGGACTCACTCTCTGAATGACATCCGCAAATCGAAGAGCGTTCAAAAACAAACGAGAATAAATAAAGGCATATCGTTAATACCTTAGAAGAGGTCCTTGCAATCAAAGATCTTTGACATAGTTTTTTTTTTCAGATTTTAGATTATGGATTTCTGGTACATTCTTACATTTACATTACATTTCTTAGTTTTCAGTACTTTTATTTGTAGTTAAGTTAAAGTTTTAAAATATTGTCTTAACAGTTTTGCGAAGTTTATATTTAAGAAATGAAGATTTATTTTGGTGTTTAAATCCTCCGCTTCTTAAGACTCTTAAGAAACCTAATCTCTAATCAATAATTTATTCGACATTCTTTCCTAAAAGTTACTGTTTATCTTTTAATAAATTATCTCAAAGATTCTTCACTTCTATTAATTTCAAGGCCCTATCAATGACCGCGAAACCCAAATCCCAACTGATCGACAGGTTTATTTCCCTTTTTTTTTACACATTCCCGCTGTTCCCAAACGGATATAACTTTTCTAAGGTTGTAAAATATATAACCTACACGATTTTTGACTCCTGCTGTGTTTACAGGGCCATATACATGCACACATACTTACATATATAATTTCCACGGGCAGGTAAACGGTTCTAAAGGTAGTTAAAGATTTCCTTTTTGTCTCGTGCTGCGCAATAGTTTGTGCCAAATTTCCTGGAAACTGCCTTGCTGGTTCCTGAGTCCGGCTTATACATATATATATTTATCTCTACATACTTGTTGTATATAAAAGCAGTAATATTGCTATATTTATCTTACTATGAAAGGATTATACTAACAAACTAATAAAGCAACTTAGGCCTTAGAAAAAATGAATACTTTATGTCCATATATTTATTTCGTTGAAATTAAATAAATAATATAATAAATATATGCATTTTGCTTGTGATTTTCCAGCCCACTCGCCTCATTTCCCCCGACACCTTGTTGCGGCGCCGGAAGGGCAACTCCTATGAAATGGCCACCCTGCTGGTCAGCATGCTGATTGGAGCTGGCCATCCCGCCATGGTTGTGTCCGGAGTAGCCCGCGAGGAGGTCGTGATCAACGACCAACTGGCCATACCCTATCCATATCCCATCGTCGAGGTGGAGGCGGAGGAGGTGTCGAAGCCGGTCGAGAAGCCAGGACAAAAGTACAAGCTACGCGGATTACCAGACTTGCAGAGTCATCTCGATGAGGATATCGCCGAGGTTCACAGGGTAAAGGAGGCCGAAGAGAAGCGGATTCAGGATGAAATTATTCGAAAGAAAATGGAGGTAAGTGAGCAAAATAAACATAATGTGCACTTGTGCATGTGAACCGGGGATTAACCATCCATTTGGATTTCCCGAAAGGATCTCGAGCTGCTGGCCGTGGACCGACACCATTATCGGCGCAGTCATGCCTGGGTGGTGATCATAAACAATGCCCCCTGGAGCATCAAGCCGAAGACTACCTACGTGGACGTGAACGGGGACGTAGTGGAGGCTCCACCCTCGGCCACCTTCATAGAGCCCTCGACAGGATTTATCTGCGAGTCGGGCTGCAAGCAGTACATCCTGATAGACAGCGTCTGGAACCAGTATAACTACTATGTCAACAAGCAGAAGTACCAGAGGGTGGGCGATCTCCGCTGGGATCTCCGGGAGACCGCCGACTGGGAGCACATGCTGCCCGGGGAGCCACCCGAGATGCGCACCTATAAGATGGCTTCTGACGAGAATATTGCCGAGGAGGATCGCGACATTGGCGAGGAGAAGCACCTGGACTGCATTTGCGAGTGGGTGGAAAGACTCCACATCGGGCTGTCCGACTTTGAGCAGCGTTTTCCCAAAAGCGAAAAGAAGATCCAATACAAGGGGGCAATCGAGGAGCGCTTTGCTCCTTACTCCCAGCGGGATGGCAAGGTGAAGCAACTGACCATCTACAACAACGACGAGTGCACGGATCCCAAGATCCGGTACGAGTACTATGAGAACCGATCCGACCTCATGCGCCATGTCAAGTACACGTACGCCAAGGATCAGTTCGAGGAGATATTCGGCAAGGGCCGCAACGACAGTTTGAAATGTAAGCCCTTGAGATTTAAAGCATATATACCCGATATTAATATATATATTTTCCAGCTATGGAGTACTTTTCGGACTCCTCACAGCAGCGTAAAGTGTATTTCTATTCGGGCTCCAGGATAGATTCCTTGGACCTAATGGTGGTCGAGACCCAGTCACTCGTTCTCCACTACAAGGGTCGCATGGACAAGTGTTGGTACAAGGAATTCCATTTTACAACTGGAAATAAAATAAAAGTAATAATAGCAACAAATATTTGGATATACATTTTAATTAAATAATAAATTCCTACAGAAAGTCATTGAAAAATTCCACAAAGGCAATGCCGATGATATAGGAGCCACAGATATAGCCACGCGCACGTTTCTCTTCCAACAGAATAAAATTATCCTAAAGTTCCATTATACCTTTGGGGCCCTCACCGCCACCACGGTGGAGTTCACTAAGCCACCAAGACCGGATTATGGTCAGGAGCTGGTTTATGATGAGAAACTAACCAAGATATACAAGGTATAGGAATTCTTTTCGATTTTTTCACACCTGTTCTTATAGATAAATCTACCCTAAGGCGAATCCCTTAGATCCCACTCGCAGTAATCTCGAGCTCTACCGACTCTTACGCGATCAACTTAGCTACGAGGATCAACTGAGAAAGAACTTTGAGAAAATCGTTGACGACATCAACAATATCTTTGATGTGCGTAGGTCTGAAAAGAGTGAGCCCAAGTTGAAGTTCACTATATTTGATCCGCTGCGAAATGGGGCAGCCAGGGCCATAAGGATGAAACAGGTAAGGATTTACTCTGTTATATATTTACTTACTAATATGTAATATTAACAGTTCGAAGAGGAAGAGGAACTCAAGAAAGAAATTGCTAGTAAGCCTGCCGATTTCCTGGCTCCCTATCTGGTGCCCTACCAGGACGAACTAACCCCTGAACAATCTCTGTATGCCTACAATGCCTGCCTGAATGACCTCAAGTCGCGATTCGTCAGCCTTTTGAATAACCTGCAGCGTCACTACGAAGATGTAAGTTTCAGAATCTTTTGAATCTTAATTTAAACTCACTTTCACATTTGTTTAACAGCTCACCTCGGAGTCAAAGTCCCTGAATCGTTTCCTCAACAAATTCGAAAATCAATTCAACAACTATGACTACAAGCGGCTGGTGCAACAGTCAAAGGACCTGGAGCTCAATAAAAGAATGGTTCAACAGCGCCTGACCCTGACTCATGAGGAGTCCCAGAAGAAATATGAGCTTGTCAAGAGTTCGCTGCTCAAGGATACTCGCCTCAATCTGAAAAAGGAGGATATGATCAAGCAGACCACTGAGGGATAAAAATAAGATATATTTGAAAAATAAATTAGTCTGGCAAGGGAAATAAAATTTAAGAAAGTTAATTGCAAGTTTGCGTAATAGAAAAGTTATTTTAATATTATTTATATTTATGTTTCAATGGAAATAAAAAGTGATTTATGCTTTGTCAGTATTTATGTTTTAATAATATAATAAATATTTTCCCTGAGTTTCTTCATTATTTTAAATCATAAATTCATTTACCTCCATTAAATTAAGATACTAATCAAGAACACTTGAGGAAATAAGTACATTTTTGTGGTGACAAACCACTAAATCAATTATCCCATTAATTGTCCAGGTGATTGTAGTCTAAGTACTGCCATTCAAATGGTATCCACTGATTAAATCAAAATCAAAGCCTGGCCTTTAAGATGCAGATACCGACTGAGAGTTTCTTCCCCCGGCGCTTGAGTGGATTCTAAAATGCGGATGTCGATTTCATGGCCTAGAATCATTGCCGCCGCGCGAACAACGTCGCTAAGGGCGGTTCAGCAGGGGTTTGGGATGCGAGTTCCGAGAGGTTCGGGGTTACGGCGAGGAAAATTCGTTTCCAAAAAGTGACCGTTTGAAAATTGGACAAAGTGGCTGATGCTGCTCCTGCTGATGCTGCTGCCGTGTTCAGACCGGACCCGCGCCCAAGGCACACAAGCCGCACAGCCGTAGAGCTGCACACACCCATACACACACCGAACCCACATCCCGTACGCCACACACTCACATACTCATTGATTTACAGAGAGAAAATCAAAAAAAACCAAAAACTTTATCTAAATTTGACTTTATACCTCAAAGAGTATTCAAATCTTAACAAAAATTTATCTTTTAAATTAAAATATAATTTTCTTATAAATTTAGGGCTTGATAAAATTTAAAATACATTACCTACATTTTTATTTCAGTGTTTTAACACACACGAATGTCTAAGCTGGGCGGCTGTCCATTTAACGCGATACTCACACCACTGAAAGGCGCGCTCACACAATCGTTCAGGACCCACGCACACACACACACACACAGCGAACATATATGATGTCCGTGACCCTCCTTCCCTTCTATATTGCCACCCCCAAAAAAACCACCCACTTCACCCCCACCCCGCCATTGGGTCGGCGAAATTGGGTTCGTCCCTTGAAAGAATCGTCCTAAGATGAAAGTGCTGTCCCTTGTCCGCCTACCGTACGTTAGCTTCGCTGAAAATTTGCTCGTGGCATGAACACATGTGGCGTAATTTCGTCGCAGATTTTTGTTCGCTAACTGGACAAGGAGATTTCGTGCACTCAGCGAAAAGAGGGGGTGATAAGGGGTCCTTCTGATTGGTGGGTTTACATTTGTTAAGAAGAAAAGAAAGAAATAACTCGGAGGAACTTAAAACCTCTTTGTAATTAGAAAATTAGGTATTTAAGATGTTTACAATTTCTTATTGTAATATTTAATTATTTTTAAATATTATTTATCTAAGAAAATGTTATAATAAATGTATTTAAAATTAAAATTCATGAGTTTGTAGTGGAACATTCGTTTTTTACCTTCAATACCTTCTCAACCTCAGATATCTCAATAACAATAACTAAAACGTGTCCCAAACCATTTGAGCTTAAATTCCTTTATTAAGCACTTATTAAATATTAATTTCAAGCGCTTGCAAATTTTTCACAGTGTCCCTTTTTGGACTTCCGAGTCGCGGGACCCTGTAATAGCGGCTAGTCAATGTTGTGCGCCAAGGCGTGGGCCGTGGGTCGTTGGTCGTCGGTCGTGGGCCGTGTCGTCGTCCCCCGCGGTGGTTGGACTTGCTCAGGAGCTCCCCCCGCTCCTCCCCCAGGACATCGCATCCTCGCCTCGCCTCGGACTTGGACGCCGCCAGTGACCGGCTGGGCATAAGTACAGTTGTGTAAATACACTAGCGGCCAACGCCGCGGCCCAAGAATTTGTATTTTATCAGCATCATTCACATCGCGTAGTCAAGGACTCCCAATATTTACGCGAAGTATACACACACATGCAGGCGTGTGTGTGTGTGCGGCCCGGCGAGTGTGTGAGTGTGTAAGTGGGTTCTTGCCGAAGCAAACAGGACATGCTACAGCGGTGGGGGAAGCGCGAGGGTTTTGCACACGGGCTGCTGTCGACTCTGTCCGCTTGTGTGTTTGAGTTTTTACGTGCACACAAAATAAAAATGGGAGTAATTTTAGACATTTTTTACATACTTTTAAGCTGGATTTGATTATACATAATTTTAAGCAAAATTAAATACATTTCAATATATTCTGCAGGACAATTTAAAGAAATATAAAATAAACTTAGAGGTGAAGGTTTCATAAATGATATTCCTTCTAAATAAATAATAATTACCTTATTGCCGCCTAGTTGCTTGGTCATACTGCGTATAATTATGGCACTAGACTAGATTATATATATATAATAATTTTTTAAATGAATCTTCCAGGTATTGCTGGATTCCTTAAAGTATGTCTGTCTCTATCTTTTCGCTGAATAAACATCCTAGTTATATTAGTTATATTCAAACAACTGAATACCTGCCCCTAGACTGGTCATACTTTAAGCATTAAAAATGAAAAATCACCCGCTCTTTTTTTCCATGTGTTCATATGTGTGCGAGGACACACGTTTGCCGAAGGGGTGGGCGCTTTAGGGTGCGATCCTTTCATTTTATTCCTAAATGTCCTTCCTTCAATATTTCAAACGTGCTTCGTGACGCGTCCGTTTTGCAAAGGCCCGGCGACTTGCAAGTGGGCCTTCTGCTCCTGCTCCTGATGCCACCGCTGCCTTTGGCTTTGCCTTTGCTTTTGTCGCGCTCCGTTCTTCAGCTTGTTGTTATTGTTCGCCGCTGACATGTTGCTGCTGCGCCGCGGTGAATTGAGCGGGGAGTGGGTGGAATGGGATGCTTCTGGGATGGACTGGCCCAGCCTGGCTCATGGGTGAATGGGTGGACGATTGGACGAGTGGGAGAGTGGAAGAGGAAGGTCCTGCGGACACGCAGACCGTCGTCGTTGGCATCGCTGGCGTCGGGGGGGTAGAAAACTTTTATCTCGGCGCATTTATTTTTCTATTCCACTTATAATATATGCCAGAAACAGGATACACACCCACATGGGCATATATTGGATATTTATTTTGTATTCGAACGCCCGGCGACGGACAGCGAACGTGTCAGCATCAGCATCAGCATCAGGAGCAGAATCAGCGGCCTCGCCGGGTCGCCGGACGGTTAAGTGGGGTAGCCCGTTATGGGACTGGACTCGCAAGGGGGGATGTACAGAGCGTAGATGGGGTCCGTAGTCCTTGTGAGTACGGTATGTGTGTGTGTGTTTGGGCCTTTGCCCGGACGGCGGACAAAGCGACGGACGCTGAAAAATGGCGTGAATTCACTTGGGTGATTTGCGCGACGTCCTGCACGATACACACATTCGAGGATGATGGAAAAAATGTTCCTTCACCTTTTCATTTTCTCCGCTTAGAAGTTCGTCTTGGCGAATACAAAAAAAAAAAAAAAGAAAAGTGGGAGAAAAACCTATTCTTGGGGATGGGAGGATGGCCTGTGACCACATGGCAAAGTTTCCTTTCAGACCTGGTCTTATATTTTTGCGACATTCTTTATCCTTGAATATGCAGTATATACATTTTAAATTATTTAATTAGCTTACTGTAAAATATTATAAAAAAATGTATGAGAAAAAGCTCATTTTCACCTGTTAAACAGTATCTTTGGATTAGGAAAATAGCTCTGAACTTTAAAGTAAAGCTTTGCAACAATGTCTTAGCTATATTTTTGAATTCATATCTGAAGACATTCGATTTAAATTAAGCTTATTATTATTTAAATATATTCTATTTGTGTTTATATTAAATAAAACATTTTTATAAATACCTTCAGGCTTCTAAAAATTATATTGCTAATCCGAAAATACTACAAGAAATATCTTTATGAACTGGATTAACGATGTTATACCAGAAATGCATATCCCCGTTTGACTTAATACGACTAGATTTTATGCGAACATTACACGGAGCAGTTACAGTTACTCGGTGGCGGTCAGTAAGCATCCTTATGATCCTTGGAATGGCCGTGATGAACCGCTGAAAAGCGGACTATACACCTGCCGCTGGTGCTGATTGTTATGGCCTCGGCCATTTCCATCAAGTGCTAATATACCGACGTGCCCGTCGACGCCTCTTCCGCGTTCAGAGCCCAGTTTATGACTCTAATTGCCCAAGACTCGGCAGAAGTTGATACTGGTAACTGCTTATCTCTGCCCAGTTGATATGTTGATGACGTGTTTACTGCAGCATAAAGTCCCTTTTACGACCCATTTTATTTATATCCAAGCTCCGCTCCGCACTGCCCGTGAGCCTGTCCTGGCGCCAATAAATTTTTATTAGCCATGATGTGGCCGCTCTTGTTCCTTAAGACGGCGAGCAAACTGATTCCGATGTTTTATTGCCCATATTGTGGCCATTCGCATGTAATTCGCGTTTTATTCCCCACACGGTGGGCGTGTGAGGAAATTAGTTTTCAATTAGGTTTTCGCTTATTTGCTAAAGATAAGCGGGGATTTGAGGATTTTTGAGTTTGTCTTGTGTTTTAGGTTAATAATTATGGGACTACGGGATAATTCCCCCTAATCCCATGTTTATTAACTTAAAATTAAAGCCAATTAAAATGTCTTAATTGAGTTATATTGTTTTTTAATATAGTTAAAAGCATTATTAACGACTTGCATATTTTATATAATTTACTTTTCAACTTTTAGCCGAAAAGGACAGCAATGGTAATCCTTTATATGGCCTTAAAAAGTATTTATATATATCATAAATCATTTTCAGATGCTTATTTAATGTTTTACAATGTATTTCATATTTTTAAATAAATAATTCTTGCAGTTTCAACTAATGGAATTATAATAGTAATACTTAGATGGTATTTCTAATAATTTGTGAAGAATTTTAAAAGCTCTCTTTAGAATGTTACATTTGAATTTAGAAACAGTAATGTTACCATTATTATTTTATTTTTATATTTTTATGC